ATCAGCTCTTCCTCTCGTCAGCTCTAGGACTGCGCGTCGAGGGATCCTACAAGCTATTACAAATCTCGGCAAGAACACAAATTTTACGTGGTTCGGCAAACTGCCTACGTCCACGGGGCAAGGAGGGGGAGATCTACTATTAGAGGGAGAGATACAACTGGGGTTTACAATCACTCAATCTAAACCCTCACACAAACTCTCAAATCCCTCGCACAAATAATCTCTCAAAGGGGATACACAAAAGCCTGTTTGCACGAAGCCAAAGCCGCTGACTTTTCTCTTTTTCTCCGCTCTGCCTAGCACTGTTTTTGCACAGCCGCCAACCTTGCTACTGTGCAGCCGCCGAAAGAAAAGAAAAACAAATGACTCCTTCGCACTTGCTTTTGCTGCCGCCAGGAACCCCTCAACCTGCTACGTCCTTGCACCAAAAAACCCTAGGGAACTGCACATTGATATTTATACAGTTGAAAATCGGGTGGGCCTGTGGGTTTCCGCATGGGCTTAGTGATTTTTGTCTGCTGGCTTTTTCGCTGGCTCATCATTCACGTGAGTCTTTGAGTGTTCACGAGAACACCTCACACGCACAAGTGGCCCCCACTCACAATTCTCCACCTCGGCGAAGTTTTCCCAAAACTGAACCGACACCAACCAAATCAAATGCCTCACTTGTTGCATCCAGTACGAAGTAAAAAACGATTCACGACAATGGACTCAATCCATAACAAGTCGAGACCCAAACGGGAGTGCGAACACTCCCCCTTACTTTTTTTTGGCAGCAATTTATACCATAAAGTTTTAAAAACTTGCAATTGTATACCTTCACTTGTTTCATCAGCATTTGTATACTTTAAAGTTTTGAAAGTTTGCACTTAAATACCCTAAAGTTATTAAAACTAACAGTTTATTATCCTCCCCTATGAAAATTTGAGGGTATTAATACTGCCTACGTATCCTCTTGCCCAAGGAATCAAGCCGAACGTAGTTCACCCAAATGACCGCTAACGACCTCAATCAAGAAGAGTTCGCAATCCTTCTCTAATATCATGATCAAGTCTACGGCTGATAGCACCTCCAATGGCCCCAAACTGAAATAATCCAAACATCTCCACCTGAGATGAACCAATGGCCATATCCAGACTACATCTATCAGCTGTTCTCGAATCAATCAACCTATCATCTTTCCCAAACTGTGTCACATCAGCTGGAATCCCAAATGATGCAGTATGATCTAGAGTTTCCACCCAACGTGGAGTAGCATCACTCTCCACCCGCTGCGATGTTCCAAAGATCTGATCACCACTCTCCACCTGTCGAGAGTTAAACGTGACATACCTGCTCAGAACAAAATCAGAAGCCAATACCTGATAATCAAACACGCCTCTGAATCCCAAATGTGCTATCGGATCAAATCTCACATCCACGATGTGACCAAGTGCTGGGTAGCCAAACATCCGACGCAACCCAAAATCTGAAGCAGCTCCACCAGATCCAAAATCTCTACATGCAACAGTCGGCAACCAATACATAAGATGGCCCAAACATGTCGTAGCCCGCACACCAATGCCAATGCTCGACATCAAACGCCGATCCTCCTCCAGAAAGGAACAACTCCCCAAATCTGCCATCTCATCACGTCGCCTCAAAGTTTCCACACCAATGAAGTGTCTCCAATTGCCGTGAGCTCGGCACAAATGCAGATATAGGTCCCTCTTGTACCTCCCTCTAACATCAGACTGAAGTACCTTCACCTTTCTGCCAATACACTTCCTCCATTTGTTGCAGGCTTCTAGGACTTCACACCAACGGGACTTGGTTGCAACCCACCAATGCCTAGAGAAATCCCTAACTGCGGAAACCACATACCTATTACCTCCCAATGATGCTCCCTTGGAAAGCCCCCGAATGCCTGAATGAACTCCCCTCAGAAAACCCCTCGAATGATGGATAGAAGTGTCAAACTCCATCTCGGTCTTCTCGCTCATACCAATGGGTTCACAGGACTTCAAACTGCAGGTCAAAGCACTCCT